AGGATTTCACGATAAGATCGAAGATCGAAGAAGGGAAAGCTTACTTAGTGGAAAGAGAGGTGGACCCTCTAAGGGTGTGGACCGACGTGGTACCCTCCGCCTTTGCACTACCCCACTTTTTCTTCTGAAACACATGTTCGGTGTACTGAGACGTGTTTATAATAAAAGCTGTGGTCAAACGCGTGTCAGAGGAAATAATGGGACTGTGAATTTGATTCCTGGCAACCTTAAATGACGATCGTACATGCGACTAGGCGAGTCTATAAGGAAAGGGAATACGTAACAGCTAGGCGGTTAGGTGATTAGACGATCGGTCTATGAGTGAAGCACCAAATCAACACCCATCCTCTTTCGTTCGCTTACTCGCCTAATCCCTTGCCTGATCGCTTACTCGAGACCTACACTTACTACTATTTAAATCGCCTAATCCTCGTTCGCCTGTACGATCGCCGACCAAGAACGTTGCCTCAGGTGTGAAAAAAGTTTCACATTCTATTATATTAAGAGCATTTCACGTATCTGTGCCTTCGCATGTCGAATTTAGTTTTTTTTTTCAGGACAGCGACAAAATAAGGCTCAAACCGACGGGAGTAATTCACGAGCGCTTTATTAAGGTGGTGACCACTACGATGTTTGACAGGATGACGCTAATCACAAGAGCTGCCCGTGCTCACAAAACTTCTTCGATTTAGCACAAGAACTGGAAATCTTATAAGCTGTACACTTGAGCTGGGTAATTCCGTAATTCTAGAGATACCATACCTGATCCCAAGTAATAAGGTTCAGACAAAGAGCACCACGTTTCTTCTACGAAACCTATTTCCCTCAAAGAAGCGCGATTTTTCTTCTGTGCAGACCAATAGTTGCATAGCTGCTGCTGCACATCCTGTTGTATGTAGTTGACTTGGGAGGTCGAGCTTGTTTTGGCGAAGGTAATAAACTTTTCTCATCAACATCAAGCTAATTGCTTTTACTTCCATATGCTTCGATTTACGAGAGTCATTGAAGTATTTGAAATGATTTTCCAATTGTTCCCTTAAAGGATAAAAAAGGATAAAGCATTTGCCGTTGATCAATCCCTTTTTGGGATGCGGCACGCATTCTACTTCCATTTGTACATTCGTAGTGGCGATGTGGCCTATACAATGACTTGCGGGGGCCAGCCGATGTACAAGTCAGTGTTTTTATCCTCCCAGACAAGTCTGGTACCAATTAACCGACCCCGGAGGGATGGAAGGCTTGGTTGGCCCGGGCGACTCACGACCCAGGATTTGATCCCCCGCTCGCGTGGTAAGCGTGCCACTTGCCACTACACCACTTCCGCATTCCCAATAGGTCCTTTGAAACTCAAATCTTGCATAAAGCAGAACCATCGAAAATCTACTTACCGGCGTGAAATATCCTGCCCTTTTTCCAAGGCCAATGCCAGCCAAAGTGTCGAAGCTGCTCACCGATTTCTTCTCTCCAGTCATTACATCGTATCGTTTCCCGAGACCGATTCCTGAATTTGCGCCATTATGTAGATCACCGTTCGCTTTTCTGGTTTAGGCTTTTATTAAATCGATTCTTGGACAAATCACTTTTTAGAAAAACCCATCAATTCTGTCAAATGTAACAAGCCAGCCTCATTCGGTCTTAATCTTACTGCATCCTATTTCTAGTTTTGCACTGAGAAAAGAATCTTATGTTCGGAGGTGAAGTAGATACGGTGTGCTTCAAAAATGGCCTCCCAGTTGTTTTCTGAATAGCTCACCTCCAAGCGTATCGAAACTGCTGAGTGCTTTTTTATCCGTTTGTCGCTTCCCTAGGCCGATCCCACCAAGCGTATCGAAAGAGCTGACCGCTCGCTTACCCAGACCTGAAACTGATGCAGAAAAGTGTTTTTTCAAGGGTTGAGATTGTTTGTCTGTACCATATGCAGAATTTGAACATCACGAACAAGCTCGTCAATTTACCCTATCCTGTGGCTTTTATCACCTCAAAGAACAATGATGGCCCTGGTGGGGTGAATGGAGGTCAGAAGGAGAAAAACCGCCCTAACTGAGATATTTCCATAGTCTAACTGCGTTTAAAAGCAAAAAGGTAGAGGGGTTTTATCATGGGAAACTGCTTAAGAAGCTGACGGAACTTGGAGAAGGGTGAAAGCTATGTAAAGAGGGAGAACATAAACAAACTTCTGATTCTTTCTGAACTTCAGGGGGAAGATGAGTGTTTTGGCGTGAGGAATCGTAGCAATTCGTTCCAAATTATTCTCAAACTAATTCTGATATGGGAAAACTGCTCCTCACAATGGCTAGAACACCGTTTTCCCACCTTGCATGTTATTTCTGTGATTAACCCATAAACAAACGAATAAATAGTCACTTAAGTCACTAACTTACAAAAGCAATGCAGATAAATTACCTAGTGCCAGCGGCGAGTGAGATCGATTGCGCTGAGATGAGCACGTTTACCAAGGCCAATGCCACCCAGAGTGTCGACGAAGAGAGCGCACGTTTATCCCCTGTGGACTCGAACTCTTCCTAAAACAATAAATGTTTAACAAATTTGCTATGGTTACTGTAAGATTACTTTCAACTTATAGTTGTAGTACGGATTTAGTTAAGCTGCGGGGGCAGTGAACGGCTAGTTCAACGACGAATTGCTTGATTCCGCTGAACAGCTCAGAATTCGATTTCTTTATATTTGGTTAAACAGCTTCTTGTGATGGACATGGCTGTATCTAGGAAATTCCCAAGACTCAGAACCTTCATCTCTGAAAGACTGTTATTTTTTGTGGGTGTTCAAAGTATTCGCACACCATCCTTCAACGAAAAATGAGTGGGCATAGTCTTTGGGCTCGAACTATAACGAAACCTAGTCAACATTTCATGCATAACCGAACCGATCAAAGGAAACGCAGTTTTTTTGCTTTCGTGTCTTAAAATTTGTCTGCCTCACTAGCCCTTTGTTTTTTTTTTTTCTGGCGATTGGCAAATGCAGGGAAAAGTTATTAATCACAAAATTTGGAAAATATGACAAGACAATGGACAGGACAGAACAATAAAGTGAGATATAACTTGAAATCGACATTGACACAGGATTTTTGTGCTTGGTTGCGCAAATTTGCATTAATGTTAGGTGTTTCAGAAAGTTTTCTGACATTCCGCATTTGGATGCTTCATTTTACTTGAAATCTAGAGAAACTGCCATCGGTATTGATAATATCTTGAAGAGCTTTCTCTGCTCTATCCAATGTTTAGCTCAGCTTTGTTCTAAAACATTTTCTCCTTTACCGGCTTTTCCAGCCGCTTTGACTGTGCATACTCGATGAGGCAAATTGGGTCATGATTTTCGCTTTTCTAGCTTTTAAATACGTCCTTGAAGGTAGCGGAGCAGCTTCCAATATTACCGGTGAATCTGGCTTTGAAGTCGCATAGAAAATTGCTTTGAAGGTAGTCAGTTTCAAACGAAAGTTATTGTAACAACAGCGCAGAGCCTTGAGTGTGATCCCAGAGGCGGTGGTCGATATTGGACCTTGGCCGACGCCCGACTGGCCATAATAGTTCTGATTGAGGCGTGCTGTATGAACCATTGAGGAGGTTCTGCCACACCTGGACGTATATGGTTGTGGAACCAAGTTATTAGGAAGTAGTTGGAAAATCCAAAAAATTTGATAGAGGGCGTGCCGCGACAAAGCACCAATTCGGAAGGTCGTTCCTCAATTTCTACCTTGTTTTATGTGATGTAAGCGACTCGCCTTTCTACTAATTTGCGACGTGCAAGATACAGTAGAATGAAGAAGAATGATAATTTTCCCTACACAGAGTTTCTGAAGGACGGCCGTAATCGTGTTAATTCGCCACTTGGATCCGGTCCACTGGTGTTCGAAGTCGTTTTTGCAGATCCTTCTGATATTTGCTAGTTTTTTGAGGATTTTCAGGTACCGCACGAGTAGCAGTAGTGAGCGAATTTGTGACACGGTGCTTCTTTCGTTATGAACTGTACACTATTATAGACTAAACACTTTACGCTTTCGAACGTTGCTGGCTCCTTGCCTGCAGGGAACTGTATTCCCTTTTAAGAGGCGCGAGTTGGGGGTTGAGAGCTGGGGTGGTGTATGTTGTTTTGGTGACTGGAAAACTAGGCAGGCAGTGGAGAATATCACCATGAGAAAGATTATGAAATTCTCTTTATTGAACCGCCGGTGGTTCGTCGGTATGAGTGAAAGATATCAAGCGCTTGCGAGGAGAGGGAAAACATAAGATAGGATGTTCGCAGGCAGATCACGTTGGTCTTGGTTTGATAAGGATGGCAGCACGGCAGCCACAAGCAAGAACTTAGCGCGTTGCCCTGCACTTTGAGTCGCGACAGCGTAGTGCCTCCTGCCCTGGAGATCCCTCTTTCTCATTTCAGGAAGGGACTGGCTCTTGAGACCTACGAACTCTACGTCGCGCTTGTCATAACACTGTGGGCTGCAGCGGTTGCTCCATATAGTAAGCTTAGCGATGACTAGCTCGTTCCCTGAATTACTTCTTTTTGTGGGCGAAGGTGGACAGTATATGACGAAAGAGGCAAGCGCAAAGAGGAGAGGGAACATGCAGTGAGCATAGGCGGCAAGGGAGACGCAGACATCCACATGTGTCGAGTTCGGGGGTTAGCAGCAGATACTCGATACGTAGATGAGGGCTTGTCGCACAATTTTGAGCAACCTCTAGCGCGTGAAGTGGCGCGCTACTCATAAAAAGACATCCATTCATCGTTTTAGAACTTACCCTAAAATCCCATAGATAAGAGCGGTTTAATTTACCGGTGAAAAATGAATTGGAATGAAATTGAAATTGAATGCAGTCACCCCTCTAACTTGATGGATGGATAAATAAAAATCGGAGAAGAAGTTTAGAAGAAGCTCCGTCCCTCAACTCTAAACCCCGCCCACTTAATAAACAATTCATATAGAAAAATAGCGATTTTAACGGAATTTCTGCCGGAATCTCTCTAGAAATGCCGGAATTTGATCTCTGGATAGAACTTGAAGAGCCCATTCGATCAGTAAAATTCCATAGATAAGAGCGGTTTAATTTACCGGTAAAAAATGATTTTGAAAAAATATTTTTATTTTTATTTTATTTTTGAAAAAATATCTATGGACCGCTCTTATCTATGGGATTTTAGGGTATATTAAGTTTATCACTTTAATGCAATGCCGGAAAAGTGCTGTATCATTCCCTGCTTAATCTCCGCACTAGTTCACTTTAATCTTAAAGCTACGCTCCCCAGAATATTCGATCTTGAAATCGTTTGGCAATTTTGGCCTAAATGTGCAAAACAACTTGTCCAAGTTTAGTGGAGTAATTACTGCTTTCTTCCTATAAAAGGTTCGGCTGTTGTTCTCGCCCACAATAATTACTCTGTGCAGTGCAGCAGGCCATTGTCTGCCAGAAATTTTGTCACTGCAATAGCCTTTCAATAGCAGCGGTGACGCCAGCAGCATCAAAAGTTTTTACCTTTCCAACTGGTTTCTCGTGAGGAAATAAAACTACCGTAATCTGGCACTTGTCCTGTATGCAGGGGAGTCTTCGTGTACCATCGCAAAGTTAAAGTTGAGATCCTAATAGCGCAACCTTTGGCAGTGTAATGATGTGCTTTTGTACAGTACACCAACAAAAAAGCCGCTCACGTCAGGCAAGCATACTTGAGGGGCCTGAGCGACGATATCGCGTGAGCGATTCGCTTGACAAAAACAGACCAAAGTGTTGCTAAACGTCACATAACAAGTGCTTTTCAATATCGTGTAAGAGTCACTGGCCCTAACCCCGTACCCTAATTCCTATTAAGGAGATTTACTGGCTACTATAAAACTAAATTCGGCAAGGTTTGCTCCTTACTGCCCTACTGAGGAGGATTTTTATCGAAATTATCCCGTGAGCAAGCATTTGGCTAAACACCACTGCTCCACTCCTCAAAGTTTTTGAGGAGTGAGGCAGCAAGTCGTGCCCAAAATTAATAAAAAAAGAGGGTTCACGGTTCTGAAAAAGTGGAGAGCTGATGTGCTGCCCACTCTCGATTCTACAGGGGCAGTGGGCAGCAAGAGAGTCACTTTGCCCATGGCGCACATCATCTTTTCGTTCGCACAGGATGCCGCCGTTGATGGAATGTTTTACGGCAGAATATTCCTTAGGTGTCCCCTATAAGCAGAAGCAGGCCCTCCTTCACTGCCCTCACCGTCTTCAGAATATGACGTCATCTGTCATCACCGTCGAGCTCAAGGAGGCTTACCGTAATCGCTCCAGCCTGAAGCTGCTACATAATTCGTGAACAAATTCACTGGTGAGTATTTCCAGAGACCGTACTCATTCTACGCAAGACCCCTTTTGACCAGCGTTTCAGATAATGTCATGATGGTCTATGATCCATCGAGGGCCTCGTAGAGCTTGCACCGCACACTACTATGTGCTCGTGAGAAAAACCCCTAGAAAGCCTTTATGAAGTTTTCTGATCTAGTTGTTAATCCAATTCAGAAGGTGAAGGGAGTGTGACTCTTTTTTGGTCCCCACCACTATATGTACAGATGGAGGGTCAAATGCAGCCCAACCGGCCATTTCACGAGGTACCCCGAATGATGCACAAGAAGTCTACTATAGAACGCTGGAGGACTACCAATTGGGTGGACTAATTTTTCTTATTTTTGAGTGACCCCATTTTTTCACGACATGTTTCTTTATCCCATTGTTTTGGAAAAGATCGCCAAGGCGTCTTTCTTAGTTCAAAATAACCCACGCGCAGCCCTTTTTGGAGCGCTGCGTGGGACCTAAATTTGACGTTCTAGATAACCTTCACACTCTAGTTATGAACACTATAGAATCACTATACGGCGGTCTACGGTGCTGCCATTAACTGGAAGGGGCGGTTACGGTTCAGCCTCTTACAACAGCCCTCCAACCCAACATAATCCTACATCGCGGCCAGTTTTCTCCCTCGAGAGCCTCCCTTTCTAGAATTCGAAAGCCAGTACAGACAATCCGGCAGGAGGAGGCAGTGGTCAAGGCCCTAGGTGGACATCTGGCGCAGCAAAGAGTTTTTGAGCTAACTAAAATGAGAGTTGGAATAGGAATAACATGATGATGCGATTGTCTTGTCCAGGTGCCATGAATCAAAGTGAAATTATGGAGTGCTTTTGATCTTACTCTATCCTCTCTTTTGTGGACCCAAACGATTTTTTATCCAAATTGGGGTGGTGTTGTGATAACAATTATTGAAAACGTTTTTGAAGACAGCCGCATATGTCGCAGTTCGCTCAAAAAGTGTTCACTAAGCACTTAACCATGCACAAGTGTCCCTTTACAATAGAAGCTTCGCGAGCAAGAATGAAATCGTCTTCCAGGACTTCTTCGAGGACTTCTTTTCGACATGGCTCTATTCCCGAAGTTGAAGGCATTTAAATCGAAGAGGACATCCAAAGTGGGGCGAGAACTACGTTCGGTTATGGCCTGCTATTTCTCATACTTTATGCTCTGCTTCGGACATGGATTGAGACGGGACCTTTTAAGACACAAGAGTGTGAATCAAAGTGGCGGAAGTCATATTTTTTGAGCACAGATAAATTAAATAAATCTTACCGATGCTGAGAGAACCGTAACTGCGCCGCTAAAAGACATGACAACAGAATAATATACATGGGACCTGAAATCAACTTATAAATTCAACAGAAACGGAAGAACAAGTGAGAACGAACAAATCATCGGTGCTGACACTGGAAATCAGGCCAGGTTCATTTCACAAATCAGCTATGTTTCATAGTCGATGAGGATCTTTCATGCAAGA